CACGCAGGTGGTGCAAAGGCAAGCCCTGGTGTACGAGTTCAACTGGGGCCCCTCAGTTTTCCTGATGTTGCTTTCCACTAAGGCGTGCTGCTCCTACCCCCTCTTGAATCCTTTCTCCCCCCAACCAGCACGCAGGTGGTGCAAAGGCAAGCCCTGGTGTACGAGTTCAACTGGGGCCCCTCAGTTTTCCTGATGTTGCTTTCCACTAAGGCGTGCTGCTCCTACCCCCTCTTGAATCCTTTCTCCCCCCAACCAGCACGCAGGTGGTGCAAAGGCAAGCCCTGGTGTACGAGTTCAACTGGGGCCCCTCAGTTTTCCTGATGTTGCTTTCCACTAAGGCGTGCTGCTCCTACCCCCTCTTGAATCCTTTCTCCCCCCAACCAGCACGCAGGTGGTGCAAAGGCAAGCCCTGGTGTACGAGTTCAACTGGGGCCCCTCAGTTTTCCTGATGTTGCTTTCCACTAAGGCGTGCTGCTCCTACCCCCTCTTGAATCCTTTCTCCCCCCAACCAGCACGCAGGTGGTGCAAAGGCAAGCCCTGGTGTACGAGTTCAACTGGGGCCCCTCAGTTTTCCTGATGTTGCTTTCCACTAAGGCGTGCTGCTCCTACCCCCTCTTGAATCCTTTCTCCCCCCAACCAGCACGCAGGTGGTGCAAAGGCAAGCCCTGGTGTACGAGTTCAACTGGGGCCCCTCAGTTTTCCTGATGTTGCTTTCCACTAAGGCGTGCTGCTCCTACCCCCTCTTGAATCCTTTCTCCCCCCAACCAGCACGCAGGTGGTGCAAAGGCAAGCCCTGGTGTACGAGTTCAACTGGGGCCCCTCAGTTTTCCTGATGTTGCTTTCCACTAAGGCGTGCTGCTCCTACCCCCTCTTGAATCCTTTCTCCCCCCAACCAGCACGCAGGTGGTGCAAAGGCAAGCCCTGGTGTACGAGTTCAACTGGGGCCCCTCAGTTTTCCTGATGTTGCTTTCCACTAAGGCGTGCTGCTCCTACCCCCTCTTGAATCCTTTCTCCCCCCAACCAGCACGCAGGTGGTGCAAAGGCAAGCCCTGGTGTACGAGTTCAACTGGGGCCCCTCAGTTTTCCTGATGTTGCTTTCCACTAAGGCGTGCTGCTCCTACCCCCTCTTGAATCCTTTCTCCCCCCAACCAGCACGCAGGTGGTGCAAAGGCAAGCCCTGGTGTACGAGTTCAACTGGGGCCCCTCAGTTTTCCTGATGTTGCTTTCCACTAAGGCGTGCTGCTCCTACCCCCTCTTGAATCCTTTCTCCCCCCAACCAGCACGCAGGTGGTGCAAAGGCAAGCCCTGGTGTACGAGTTCAACTGGGGCCCCTCAGTTTTCCTGATGTTGCTTTCCACTAAGGCGTGCTGCTCCTACCCCCTCTTGAATCCTTTCTCCCCCCAACCAGCACGCAGGTGGTGCAAAGGCAAGCCCTGGTGTACGAGTTCAACTGGGGCCCCTCAGTTTTCCTGATGTTGCTTTCCACTAAGGCGTGCTGCTCCTACCCCCTCTTGAATCCTTTCTCCCCCCAACCAGCACGCAGGTGGTGCAAAGGCAAGCCCTGGTGTACGAGTTCAACTGGGGCCCCTCAGTTTTCCTGATGTTGCTTTCCACTAAGGCGTGCTGCTCCTACCCCCTCTTGAATCCTTTCTCCCCCCAACCAGCACGCAGGTGGTGCAAAGGCAAGCCCTGGTGTACGAGTTCAACTGGGGCCCCTCAGTTTTCCTGATGTTGCTTTCCACTAAGGCGTGCTGCTCCTACCCCCTCTTGAATCCTTTCTCCCCCCAACCAGCACGCAGGTGGTGCAAAGGCAAGCCCTGGTGTACGAGTTCAACTGGGGCCCCTCAGTTTTCCTGATGTTGCTTTCCACTAAGGCGTGCTGCTCCTACCCCCTCTTGAATCCTTTCTCCCCCCAACCAGCACGCAGGTGGTGCAAAGGCAAGCCCTGGTGTACGAGTTCAACTGGGGCCCCTCAGTTTTCCTGATGTTGCTTTCCACTAAGGCGTGCTGCTCCTACCCCCTCTTGAATCCTTTCTCCCCCCAACCAGCACGCAGGTGGTGCAAAGGCAAGCCCTGGTGTACGAGTTCAACTGGGGCCCCTCAGTTTTCCTGATGTTGCTTTCCACTAAGGCGTGCTGCTCCTACCCCCTCTTGAATCCTTTCTCCCCCCAACCAGCACGCAGGTGGTGCAAAGGCAAGCCCTGGTGTACGAGTTCAACTGGGGCCCCTCAGTTTTCCTGATGTTGCTTTCCACTAAGGCGTGCTGCTCCTACCCCCTCTTGAATCCTTTCTCCCCCCAACCAGCACGCAGGTGGTGCAAAGGCAAGCCCTGGTGTACGAGTTCAACTGGGGCCCCTCAGTTTTCCTGATGTTGCTTTCCACTAAGGCGTGCTGCTCCTACCCCCTCTTGAATCCTTTCTCCCCCCAACCAGCACGCAGGTGGTGCAAAGGCAAGCCCTGGTGTACGAGTTCAACTGGGGCCCCTCAGTTTTCCTGATGTTGCTTTCCACTAAGGCGTGCTGCTCCTACCCCCTCTTGAATCCTTTCTCCCCCCAACCAGCACGCAGGTGGTGCAAAGGCAAGCCCTGGTGTACGAGTTCAACTGGGGCCCCTCAGTTTTCCTGATGTTGCTTTCCACTAAGGCGTGCTGCTCCTACCCCCTCTTGAATCCTTTCTCCCCCCAACCAGCACGCAGGTGGTGCAAAGGCAAGCCCTGGTGTACGAGTTCAACTGGGGCCCCTCAGTTTTCCTGATGTTGCTTTCCACTAAGGCGTGCTGCTCCTACCCCCTCTTGAATCCTTTCTCCCCCCAACCAGCACGCAGGTGGTGCAAAGGCAAGCCCTGGTGTACGAGTTCAACTGGGGCCCCTCAGTTTTCCTGATGTTGCTTTCCACTAAGGCGTGCTGCTCCTACCCCCTCTTGAATCCTTTCTCCCCCCAACCAGCATGCAGGTGGTGCAAAGGCAAGCCCTGGTGTACGAGTTCAACTGGGGCCCCTCAGTTTTCCTGATGTTGCTTTCCACTAAGGCGTGCTGCTCCTACCCCCTCTTGAATCCTTTCTCCCCCCAACCAGCACGCAGGTGGTGCAAAGGCAAGCCCTGGTGTACGAGTTCAACTGGGGCCCCTCAGTTTTCCTGATGTTGCTTTCCACTAAGGCGTGCTGCTCCTACCCCCTCTTGAATCCTTTCTCCCCCCAACCAGCACGCAGGTGGTGCAAAGGCAAGCCCTGGTGTACGAGTTCAACTGGGGCCCCTCAGTTTTCCTGATGTTGCTTTCCACTAAGGCGTGCTGCTCCTACCCCCTCTTGAATCCTTTCTCCCCCCAACCAGCACGCAGGTGGTGCAAAGGCAAGCCCTGGTGTACGAGTTCAACTGGGGCCCCTCAGTTTTCCTGATGTTGCTTTCCACTAAGGCGTGCTGCTCCTACCCCCTCTTGAATCCTTTCTCCCCCCAACCAGCACGCAGGTGGTGCAAAGGCAAGCCCTGGTGTACGAGTTCAACTGGGGCCCCTCAGTTTTCCTGATGTTGCTTTCCACTAAGGCGTGCTGCTCCTACCCCCTCTTGAATCCTTTCTCCCCCCAACCAGCACGCAGGTGGTGCAAAGGCAAGCCCTGGTGTACGAGTTCAACTGGGGCCCCTCAGTTTTCCTGATGTTGCTTTCCACTAAGGCGTGCTGCTCCTACCCCCTCTTGAATCCTTTCTCCCCCCAACCAGCACGCAGGTGGTGCAAAGGCAAGCCCTGGTGTACGAGTTCAACTGGGGCCCCTCAGTTTTCCTGATGTTGCTTTCCACTAAGGCGTGCTGCTCCTACCCCCTCTTGAATCCTTTCTCCCCCCAACCAGCACGCAGGTGGTGCAAAGGCAAGCCCTGGTGTACGAGTTCAACTGGGGCCCCTCAGTTTTCCTGATGTTGCTTTCCACTAAGGCGTGCTGCTCCTACCCCCTCTTGAATCCTTTCTCCCCCCAACCAGCACGCAGGTGGTGCAAAGGCAAGCCCTGGTGTACGAGTTCAACTGGGGCCCCTCAGTTTTCCTGATGTTGCTTTCCACTAAGGCGTGCTGCTCCTACCCCCTCTTGAATCCTTTCTCCCCCCAACCAGCACGCAGGTGGTGCAAAGGCAAGCCCTGGTGTACGAGTTCAACTGGGGCCCCTCAGTTTTCCTGATGTTGCTTTCCACTAAGGCGTGCTGCTCCTACCCCCTCTTGAATCCTTTCTCCCCCCAACCAGCACGCAGGTGGTGCAAAGGCAAGCCCTGGTGTACGAGTTCAACTGGGGCCCCTCAGTTTTCCTGATGTTGCTTTCCACTAAGGCGTGCTGCTCCTACCCCCTCTTGAATCCTTTCTCCCCCCAACCAGCACGCAGGTGGTGCAAAGGCAAGCCCTGGTGTACGAGTTCAACTGGGGCCCCTCAGTTTTCCTGATGTTGCTTTCCACTAAGGCGTGCTGCTCCTACCCCCTCTTGAATCCTTTCTCCCCCCAACCAGCACGCAGGTGGTGCAAAGGCAAGCCCTGGTGTACGAGTTCAACTGGGGCCCCTCAGTTTTCCTGATGTTGCTTTCCACTAAGGCGTGCTGCTCCTACCCCCTCTTGAATCCTTTCTCCCCCCAACCAGCACGCAGGTGGTGCAAAGGCAAGCCCTGGTGTACGAGTTCAACTGGGGCCCCTCAGTTTTCCTGATGTTGCTTTCCACTAAGGCGTGCTGCTCCTACCCCCTCTTGAATCCTTTCTCCCCCCAACCAGCACGCAGGTGGTGCAAAGGCAAGCCCTGGTGTACGAGTTCAACTGGGGCCCCTCAGTTTTCCTGATGTTGCTTTCCACTAAGGCGTGCTGCTCCTACCCCCTCTTGAATCCTTTCTCCCCCCAACCAGCACGCAGGTGGTGCAAAGGCAAGCCCTGGTGTACGAGTTCAACTGGGGCCCCTCGGTGTTGGCCATCCTGCTTACCACCATGACACGCTGTTTCCCAATGTCCCAACCCCACTTGGATTCTTTCCCCTTCGTGCAGCACACAAGTGGTGCAGAGGCAGGCTCTGGTGGACGAGTTCAACCGGGACCCCTCGGTTTTTGCGATGCTGCTGTCGACCCGGGCAGGCGGCCAAGGTTTGAACCTGACCGGGGCAGACACGGTGATTCTGCACGACGTGGATTTTAACCCTCAGATGGACCGGCAGGCGGAGGACAGGTGCCATCGGATCGGGCAGACTCGACCTGTAACTGTCGTGCGGTGAGTCGTAACTGTCGTGCGGTGAGTTGTAACTGTCGTGCCGTGAGTTGTATTATGCTGAAGTTGTTGTGAACCTTGTGTGTGTCATTTTCAGCTGTGTGGTGTAAGTGGTACAGTAATTTGTGATTATTGTTTATGTTTCTCAGGCCTAATTTGCTCAGATTGAGCAGGCAGTGTATGTTTAATGTTATCAAGTTAGCTTTCTGCCACCCTTTCCCCCACAACACCAGGCTCGTGACACGTGCAACAGTTGATGAGGGCATTTTGAACATTGCCCAGCGGAAGCTGAGCTTGGATGCTGCTTTGCTAAGCGGTGGTGGAGAAGGGGAAAGTGCAAACGGGAAGGGGTCTGAAAAGGGAAAAGGAGGCTCAGAGGAAGCTCAGAGCATGGCTGCTATTTTGTCATCAATTCTTGCTTCCAAGTCCTGAAATCGTGATCGTTATTGATGTATAATGGCGGGCTATATTTTGTATGCTTTGTGAACTGTGTTCTCGAAAGCTAGTACCGCAGTACAAACCGAACCAAATGTTTCACAATGTGCTTCTTTATTTCCAGAATGAAATCCACCAAGCTTGGCACCGTTCAGGTCATTCCAGAACATTTACATTTTTTTAGCTTTTCTGTAGAATACTCTTATGTACTAATAGATCAAACGTTATACCTTGTCATGACAAATATCGTGGACCCGCTATTGCCGCAAGTGCACGCGAGAGTCGTTGCTAGTAAGAGGGACAATCCCCACACACGTCACCGAGAGTCCTGCTAACCAGCCAATCGCATCAAAAACTCGTGCTGAACATCGCGACTCCAGAAACACTCCCGAAGCGCGATTTCACGACATTCCATCCTCAGCATTTCTCATCCCCACATGTCAGCCTTCCCAATCATCCTCGCCTTTTTGCTTTTCAACAACACCACATTGTGCACGGCACACACACACCACGAGCACGAAAGTTACAGCTGGCACCCGCACGTGTAGTCATAGCTTGATAGCTGAACTAGACGACTTTTGATTCTGACGGACGCGCCGGCGCCGGCTGTCCAAGCCGCGTGGCCTTTCCATGCATATCCACTCGACCCCGCTGCTGTCGGTGGATATCAAGCCCGATGCGCCTACGCCCCTAGCCGTACTCCGCTTGCTGTGGTTCAAATCGTCTCCATTCCTCATACTATGTAGCACAGACGTCCACGCCATTGCAATGTGTTTGTTTTGATTTTACTCACGACGGATTGCTAGTATACCTCTCCCAAGCCGCACGAAAAGTCTAACGCCTTTGCGTTACTGTCAGGAGTTCTCACTTCTTTCCCACGCCCGCTCTCCCTCCCGATCTCGGTCCCACTCGCGCTGCTATGGCTTCTCGAGGCGCATCACGCGCTCTCTCTCGGGTCCTCTTCGCGACGCTCCTCGTCCTCGCCGCCTCTCACGGCGCGAGTGCCGGCAAGGTGGTGAAACCGCCGCTGATGCCCGGGCAGATCCTGCGCAAGTGCGGGTGGTCCAGCATGGGCGACTACACGTCATCGTTCGTCTTGTACCCTGAGTAAGTGGCCTTTTCCGTTGACAATTGTTGACTCAGAGGAAAGTTTCCGCCGGGGCAGATACTGCGCAAGTGCGGGTGGTCCAGTTCCCCCCCCCCCTGCACCCCCCGGCCCTACCAGTTTGCATCTGCATTGGAGGGTGGTCGACAGCGACACGGTAAAATTCGCGCTCCACATGAGCAAGGGCATCGAAGCGGGCAAGGGGTGGCGGTTCCGTGGCTCTTTCCACTCGTTCGAAGGAAATCTCTCACCTACATTGGTGTTACTTTTGAGAATTCTCAAAAGCATTACCACCCGACACCCTCACTTGCATAACTCCCAGCAACAACCTCACCCACCGTTATCCTTCCCCCCCCCTCCCCCCTCTTGCACCCCCCGGCCCTACCAGCGTGCATCTGCATTGGAGGGTGGTCGACAGCGACACGGTCAAATTCGCGATCCACATGAGCAAGGGCATCCAAACGGGCAAGGGGTGGTTCGGCGTGGGTTTTTCGAGCAACGGCAAGATGAACGGCGATGCGATCATCGCGGAGAGCATGCGCGCCGGCGCGCCCAAGCTGCTGACGCTAGCCGGCCACGGCAGCAGGAGCGACGCGACTGGGTGGGCACCGACGGGACTAAAAGTCATCAAAACCCCCGCCGGCACCACCATCGAGTGAGTAGCAACATGTTGGTACGGATACCACCGTCACAGTCGCAGCAGGAGCGGCGCGACTGGGTGCACGGCGACCGGACTAAAGATTACCAAAGCTTCCGCGGGTACCAACATCGAGTGAGCAGCAATTGAGTTGGTATGACTACCGCCGTCACAGTCGCAGCGCGACTGACGCGACTGGGTGGACGGCGACTGGACTGAAGATTGCTGAAAGACCCCGCGGGTACCACCATCGAGTGAGTAGCTAAAAGAACTAGAACCGTTGACGCAACGTTGTAATCGCAAATCGAGCAGCTCACGCTCGCCGGCCACAGCAGCGGTGAGGTGGCGCTGAACCCCGCGGGCAACAATTACAGCACGTGGGCCTCCGCTAACTCGTTTGTAACCCGGTTACCCTGTGTTCGTGCGCAGGTTCCCTCGCACCACGCCGGACGGCGGCAAGGTGGCGCTGAACCCCAAGGGCAACAGCACGTGGGCCTCGGCTAACTCGTTTGTAACCCGGTTACCATGTTTCGTTCGTGCGCAGGTTCACTCGCACAACGTCGGACGGCGGCGAGGTGGCTCTGAACCCCTCGGGAAACAACTACATCACGTGGGGGTTCGGCCAGACCACGTGGGCGAAGGCAAAAGGGCACCTCTACTCGTACGTGCGAAACCCATGCAAACGGTTGCAAATTTCGAATCTTTTCGAGATTATGTAGAATGCCATACGAGTCAAACGTGCATCCCACCTTGTAACAATGTACACGAGGCCAAATCATGTCGGAAACAAGGTGGCTCTTCCTGCCTGCTTCCTCCCTCCCTATGCCCCCCCTGCCCCCTTCGTCCGCTCAACCTCTCCGGTACTACCCTCAACCCCTTATTTCCCACCCCCCCCCCCCGCCTTTTCTTCCTCTCTCCCCCTCGTGCGCAGCGGCCACGCGGTGATCGACCTCTCATGCAACGGCTGCGCGGGCACATTCCGCAAGGCGCTCTGCAAAGTCTTCTAAACGCATCCGCGCGGCGCACAACGCATCCTTCTGGTCTTCAGCGATTCGTACGGAATGCCAGGCAATCTGGGCACCCGTGACAGACGAAGAAATTAACCCTGGAAAGCAGTCTTGATTTGTCCAAGCTGTACAGCTCTGCAGAGTTTTTCTTTTACATAGAGTACTAGGTCCAATTTAGGTGGACCCTGCATTCTAGACGTCTCAATTTCTTCTCTCCGCTCATCGTATCGTCGTCTGCTATGAGCCTGTTATCCATGCAGCCTTGTTTGATATCCAGCCTTGCGGAGCAAACAGATCGATCACTAACATTCTCTGGCCGTGTTTGATCCATCGCGAAAAAGGCTGATCCAAATTTCAGGGCCCCGTAGGTTTTTCCACCAAAAAGCTCCCAGAAAGTCACGACGTCATACAAAAAGTCCCAGCCGGGATGGTGACGGAAATGTCACATTAACGTACACCGCAAACGTGACAAAAAAGTCACGCTGTTGTAACTTCCCAGTGACTAGAAGCTGTTAGTCGCAAATGCGTCCACGGAATTGGCGAGGAAGTAGATGGCCTGGTTTCGCACGAGAATTACGACAGTGGTTGAAAGCGTTTGAAGGCGGTTTACCTGTGTATTGCTGAATGAGAAAAACAAACCAACTTGAATGCAGTGATCACGAGGCATGCGAAGCAACCCGAACACTAGCGAAACAAATAACAGACGGTGAAACTACTTCGTGACGGTCGTAAAAAACAAAACGAAGATTTTTGCGCTTCGATGCTACACGTCAGACTCGACAGTGGCGTGTGCAAACCAATCAAGGCTACTCTAGGGAAATGTGCGTCGCATCAAGGTTTCGCGAACGTTCCACGTCACACCTTTTAAACCCCCATCTTTCCCAACCTTCCTGAACCGTCTAAGCCGAGCCTCAAGAATCATTTGAGCCAATCGTTGGAGTGCACCTAAACAAAACTTTCACCTTCCCTTATCCTCCCACTATTCACACCGAACCGGACCGTGGATCACCCAAACCCCCATCAACCTTCACTTTCCCATACAAATGCTCCCTGCATCTCACAGTTTGTTCAAACCTTGTTTGTGTGGCCTCCTATTTGTCACACCCATCTAGCACACTCAGCCAACTGTGCTCTACCTTCATGCTCTAGGCTTACACACTACAGCTTACCTCTCCATAGGCGGTGTGTTTATACCTATCGTTGTTCAACCCCCACCACGTGTTTTTTTTCATTAGAGAAGCTACTTGGAACCGCATACCTCATTCTCTCACTACTCTCCCCATCCGCCCCCCCACTTGCCAACATGCCACTCCCCTCTGGTGCCCCGCGTGGCAGATCACAGCGCTTCAACGCCGCAAGCATAACGATGTTAAACCGCCACCCAGGCAACCGGTGGGGTCAACTGTACTGGTCAGTGCCCAGTGTGTTGCCTGGCTCAAACACCTTCTCTTTAACGCGTGGCAGATGGCCTACGCGACTGCGTAGCCCTTTGTTTCCTATGGTCTCGATTCTCTCTCTTCTTCATATTGCTTTTGTTTATCTCTTTGTGGCAGAACGCAAGGTGCAGTGCGACTGCAGCCAGCACCACCAAGGAGCATGTCATGCTACTTTGTGCAGCATGTTCGAAAAACAGCGACAAAAGTGCAGTGGCGCATATTCCAGTTCGACCGTTCCGTACTTCGCTTTTGTCATTCAGGCAAGCTTTGATGCTGACTGTGCGATTTTGCGACCGACAGAGCATCATGACGTTGGCTTGTGTGTGTGCATGTGGATCTGTCGTGACGTCATCCCTGCTATTTTTGGTGTTAAAACATAGGTACCGTTGCACTAGCCCCTCGAACGCTCCGCCCCATGTTTCCTGAGACTCACGATCTATTGCTATGATTGTCTTGCGGGTTTCATCACTCACATAACTGGTGATGTTTTTGTGTGCAGATTCATCACGTTCCATTTTGTTCTGTATTAGCTTTCTTCTTTTTTGCAGGTTTGACAGTTCCGAACGACCATACTGGCAAGATGTTTTCGTAGCCACGCCACGGTGTTCCGGGCTACACGTTCGTACATTTGCGCAGTTGCTCGCCAATCGTACATCTGCGCAGTGGCTTTAGTTCGTACATCTGCGCAGTGGCTTCAGTTCGTACATCTGCGCAGTGGCTTCAGTTCGTACATCTGCGCAGTGGCTTTAGTTCGCACATCTTTCGGTAGCTTTAGTTCGTACATCTGTGTAGTAACTTGTATGTTGCGCATGTGATGTGACTAAAGGAGCCCATTCGAAATGCCAGCTGCTGTATTCTGAAATTTCCGCGTACGGAAATGGGCGATGCTGCGTCGCTCGATAATAATCGCCACCCAATCATAAAACATTTCTGCACCCACGTCCCCGAGGTTTGATTGGTTCATATCCACCAATCAACGACAATGACACGTGGCAAAATATCTTGGCATACGTGACACGTGGCAAGGTTACATAAAAGTGACGAGAAAGTCGCTTCACCAGACACTCTACTGTGACATTCTGTGTGACATTATGTCACATTTACGTGACATTTCCGTGACAACGCAGGGAACATCGTGGCCGGTACTTTCTGTTAAACTGTATTATGCTTGTAGGCTGTAGTGGGGTAGCCAATATGGGGTACAACCCCAACTAGGGTTTCATATTTGTACCCAAACTTCTCCTAGTTCATTCATTCTTGCCTAGTGATTCTGACATGGTATTCAGAGCAGGAGGTCCCTAGGACCTACCGACCGTTTTTTTTTTTAAGGGCCCACCACCGCTCGCTGCGGTTACCACGCTACCCCGTGCCCTAGCCTCGTAGCGCCCTCGTGCGCCCTCGTTAGCGCCCTCGCGCGCCCCTCGTCAGCGCCCTCGCGCACCCTCGTTAGCGCCCTCGCGCGCCCCTTCGTTAGCGCCCTCGCGCGCCCCTTGCTAGCGCCCTCGCGCGCCCCTTCACTAGCGCCCTCGCGCGCCCCTCGCCGAGCCGCCCGCTCGCAGCCCGCCCGCCCGCTCGCTGCCCGCTTCGCGGCCCGCTCGCTACGCAGCCCGCCCGCCCGCTCGCTGCCCGCTTCGCGGCCCGCCCGCTTCGCAGCCCGCTCGCTCGCTGCCCGCTTCGCGGCCCGCCCGCTTCGCAGCCCGCTCGCTCGCTGCCCGCTTCGCGGCCCGCCCACTTCGCAGCCCGCCCGCCCGCTCGCTGCCCGCTTCGCGGCCCGCCCGCTTCGCAGCCCGCTCGCCCCGCTGCCCGCTTCGCGGCCCGCCCGCTTCGCAGCCCGCCCGCCCGCCCGCTGCCCGCTTCGCGGCCCGCCCGCCACGCAGCGTCGCCCGCCCACCGTGCTGCCCGCTTGCAGCGCCGCCTGCCCGCCGCGCTGCCCGCTTCCCGGCCCGTCCGCCGTGCTGCCCGCTCGCAGCATCGCCCTCCCGTCGCGCTGACCGCTTGCAGCGCCGCCTGCCCGTAGCGCCAGCCTTGCCCGCTGCTCTCTATCCGTGCACAGTCGCCTTCCCCTGCTGCGGCAGCTTGCGTTACTCTGTCACACTGTCGCTATGGCTTCCATCCGCGTGCTGTCGTTCGATGCTGAGGGCCGCCCTGTGAAGTTCACCGCTTGGCTAGATGACCTGCAGCTGTTCCTCCTGAGCGATAGCAAGGAGCATGTGTCGCTCTATGATTACGCGTCTGGTGCTGCGCCTGCCCCTCCTGCCACAGCTGAGCTTAGTGTTCGTTCCCACTGGCAGACTCGTGACGCAGCTGCTCGCCTAGCCATTTGTAGTCACCTGCCGTTAGCTGAGCTAGAGCATTTTGGCGACTGCAAATCCGCTAAGGCCCTGTACGACGCTGTCGTCGCTCGCTACTCCTCGCCTGCCACAGCCGAGCTTAGCCGCCTCATGCTGCCGTACCTGTTCCCCGATCTGTCCACCTTTACTACAGTCGCCGATCTTATCACCCACCTTCGCACTAGTGATGCTCGCCTGCGTGCCGCCCTTCCCACCGAGTTCTGCGCTAAGAACCCCCCTCCACTGTACTGGACACTCCACTTCATAGTCACCCGTCTCCCTGACACCCTCCGCTCAGTTCGAGACCACTTCCTTGCTCGCTGTCCCACTGAGCTCACAGTCGCCCTCCTAGAGGAGCACCTGCTCGCGGCCGAAAAGAGCATTGTAGCTGTCGGTGCTGCTCGTGGCGCTCCTCGCACCCCCATCTTTGAGGGGTGTTCTCCCTCTCCCCTCGCTCCCTCCTACGCTGCTGCTGCTGCTGTTGACTTCCTTGGTGCTGAGTCTGTTGGCGCTGCTTCTACTCCTGGTGGGAGGCGCCGCACCGGCAAGGGCAAGGGGGGCAAAAGTGGTGGTGGTGGCACTGGGGGGGGAGGAGGTGGGGGAGGTGGGGGGGGAGGCGGTGCTGGAGGGAGCGGTGGCGGGAGCGCTGGTGGGAGTGGGGCTGGTGGTGGAGACGGGGGCGGCGGAGGAAGCAGTGGCAGTAGTGGCGGCGGCGGCGGTGGCGGCGGTGGCGGTGGTGGCGGTGGTGGCGGTGCCGGTCGGAGCGGTGGTAGTGGTGGCGGCGGAGGTCGGAGTGGAGGCACTGGCTCGGGCCAGAGCTCCCAGCAGCAGCAGCGTCCCCAGACGACCCAGCAGCTTCGTGAGTGGCTTGCTCAGCGTGGGACGTCGGGGGCCAGTGCCCGCTGTTCTTATGTCATTCGCACAGGTGACCGCAAGGGACAGACGTGTGGGAGGTTCCACACCCCGTACCGCTGCTTCTCCCGCCTTGACGACGCTTGGCGTGAGGAGATGGGTGCGGATGTTGAGCGCCCCCGCTGGGCTGAGCTCATGAGGGCTGGTGTTGATGTCTTTGCTCTTGACTATGATGCTATTATTGCTGCCATGTATGCATTGACTGTTAGTGCCGAGGGAGACTGTTACTTGTGTGTGCCGCCTGACCCAGGTATAGAGCCCGCTGCCCTGGGTACTAGTGAGTCTGCTCTCTCTGGTATGGTGCCCCCTGTACTTGCTCCCC